TAAATTATTATAAATATACTAAAAATATATATAGTACAAACTTAATAGCACAAATTTCTTAACTTTAATCTAATCTTAACAAATTTTAAAAATTTTATTTGTGCAACTAACCTTATATATATTTTTAATATATTTATTATAAAAATAAATAAACTTATATTATATACTTAATTGTTGTATATAGTTAGAATATTTAGCATTTTTTTTCAAATATTATATATTAAACCAAGAAAGCCTTGATCGAATAAATAATAAATTTTTTGAACCTTGGATATAAGTCTTCTCAATTTATCAATATCGTTAAGTGAAGCATAAATTTGAGTTAAGTAATTAACTCCAAATGTCACTTTAATAAAGTTATCTAAATAATTATATATTTTATTAATAAATATTTAAACTTTTAATAATTTGAATATATCAAATCAAAAAGATTTAATAGTATTACTTACTTGAAATAAGGTTTTGTAGTGTAATATTCACCAATTCTTCAGAGGCTTCTTTGATAATAACTTTTAATTTATTAGTAATTTTATTATAAACTTTACTAGATGGGAATGAAGAATGCTTATATATTCCTTTACTAATAAGAATTACATAAGAATATTTCTTAATATCATATAGTACAATTTTGTAATATTTTACATTGTAATAATATTGAATTATAAATCCTTCCTGAATAGTACTATCAGAATAATGATGCAAAAACCCTAGTTTAAAAAATAATTATTATTATAAGATTTTTAATAATAGTTAATTTTAAATAAATATATATACCACATATTTTTTTTTAGAATTAGATAACAATACTAATGAACACATTGTTATTTCACTTGTAGATTCAGACTAAAAATATTTATAATTATTAAAATAATTTAAAAAAATAAATAATAATAAAATTATTTATATACTTACAGTTTCGTTATTAAATAGTTGTTTTAATAAATCAATATCAATATTATTTTTTAATTTATAAAAAAAAATGATTTCTACTACCATTTTATCCTACCATTGACTACATCCAACAAACCAGCTTTTAGAAGCTTGATTATTATATTTTTTATATTTTTGTACAACAAAGTTTCCTTTACAATTATTATTATTAAA